GCTTCCCTGGAGGGCAAGGGCAGCTCCGAAGGGTGGACTCTGTGATACACCATAGCATTTGGGAGAAACAGAAGTCCCAGAGTGACCTTGGAACCCTGCTGAGCTGCCTCCCCTCCCCCAAACGACACCCTCCCCAGACACCCCCCCCCCCAAATCTCCAGAGATTTCCCAAGATGGAGTTGGCAATCAGGCCCATACCCAGGATTCTGTGGCTTGCGGGGCAAAATTTTTCCGAGGGGGCTGAAGTTTTCAATGAATAGGAAAGTCTCTTTTTTGTCCTGCCTTAAGCAGATATGACTCTTTCACCAACACACCAACAGTCCACCTGCCAGTGTTGACACTGTGAATTTTGCTTCTTTTATTATGTCTAAAAAGGGTTTTTTAAAGGGAAAATCTCATGAGGCTGGCCCTTTAAGAAAGGGGGCGGAGCCCCAATTAGCCCCACCCTAGCTACGGGCCTGCTGGCAATCCTGTTAACAGCACAGGTAAGACATGAGCCAGGGATTTCCTGACTGATCAGCGGCAGCAGGGTAAATGCAGGCTGAGGCATGTGAGGGTGGGTGTGTGATGGAACAATCGCATAAATGCCAGATTCCATACAGATCCACTTAAAGGTCATTACGTAACTGCAGATGGCCAGGGAAGGGGGTGATTCCAGGGACGTAACGGCCATTACCCAGATGGTGCAAGATAATGGAATGAAAGAATGAGATGAAAGGATAAAATGAGGGAAAATGTCACAAATAGATTTCAGGCTGTGCCCTCTTCCACCTACTCCTCCCTCCCAATTCAGGTAATGCAATGTTGGTTTTCTCTGGAAGTCAGTAGCCCACAAAATATCTGCCATTCATGATTTAATTTTGGAAAAGGCTTCTGAAGCATCACCAAGGCCTGACAGGATATTTAACCTTGGCCCAGAATCCTTCTAGCAGGATTCCCAATGCAATACCAAACTTTAGCTACTGAACAGGAAGGGCAGGAGATGGCTGCAATTACATGGGTCTCTTTTGTACATTTAGGGGTCACTGTGGCTCAGAGGTTAAGATGCTGAGCTGCAGACTGGAAGCTCTGTAGGTCGGCAGTTCAAGACACGAGTGCCGCGTGATGGAGTGAGCTCCCGTCTCTGGCCCCAGCTCCTGCCAACCTAGCAGTTCGAAAGCAAGAAATTGCAAGTAGATAAATAGGTACCACTTCGGTGGGAAGGTAACAGCGTTCCATGCACCTCGGCATTTAGTCATGCCGGCCACATGACCACGGAAACGTCTTCGGACAGCGCTGGCTCTTCGACTTGGAAATGGAGATGAGCACCGCCCTCTAGAGTCAGATTCAACTGGCTTTCGAGCAAGGGAACCTTTACCTTTACCTTTTGCACATGCCTCTGAGTATCCAAAGTTAAATGGTGGCTTGGCAAGAGAGGGCACATTTTGCATGCAAAACGTCCCTGGTGCAATCTCTGGCATCTAGATTCTTGGGTAGCAGGTTTGGCGTAGGGTTGCCAATCTCCAGGTGGCAGCTGGAGATCTTGCGGGATTACAACTGCTCTCCAGGCACGAGGGATCAGCTCATCTGGATAAAATGGCTGCTTAGGAAGGTGGCATTGTAAAACCCCTCCCCTCTCTAAACCCTGCCCTTTCCCCCAAATCTCCAGGCATTTCCCAACCTGGAGTTGGCAACACTGTTTGGGAAAGACACTTCTCTGCCTGAGACCCTGGAGAAAGGGATGATACGTATGCATATGTGTAAAGAAAGGAAGGGCTAGATCCAACCGATTACTCTGCTGAGAAGAAAAGGAGGAAGGCGTCTCCTTCGACTACCAAAAAGGCCACGCTGGGGATCCTGAGACTTGGATAGGCAACGGCCGCGTGGGACGGGGGCTGTAGTAAGGAGGAGAATTGGGCAAGACTGAGCGAAAAGAAACTGAACTGGATCCAACCCTATGGGTGCAGAAATGGTACGAGAGTTACACGCAGACATCCATGAATTTACACAGCTCTCCATTCGTTCAGTCGATTTTCTGGTAAATGGGACCTGGAATCTGTCCCTCTTTGCCAAAAACGAAGCAAGTCTAGGTCTGGCCCATTTGCACAGAGCTCCGTGGAAGAAAAGCCTAATTGTAAATAAATAATAAGCCTTACAGCATTTTATTAAAGCCACACAGCAGCGCTGTGGCAAGGTAGCTGCTTACACACACACACCACTCAGTGCCCGAGCTCCCTTCCTCCCTGCGACAGTGTTTCACCTCTGTTATTTGTAAAAATGAAATGTCAGGGGCTTGTGTTCCCTTATCTTTTAGAGGCAGACCTTTGCCAAAAAAGGGGGGGGGAGAGAAAAGAGGGGGAGATAAAGAGGAAAGCCTGGCTTGTGGAAGAATCCAGATCTTAATCAGCCCTGCTTAACTATCGGCACAGGGGAACATCGCCGGGGATGAGAGGAATATGCCCAATGTCAGAAAGATAGATGGGCGCCGTAACGGGCTGCCTTCTGCAGCGCCAATGAGAGCTGCAGTGAGAATCATCGCTGTGCAGACGTGGCCGATGAGTCAAGGGTACGAGGAACGAAGTCCTGCTGCACATGCATGTGTGAATCAGCCTTTACAGCAAGGTGGCACATTCGGCTCTTTGGTGTCTCTGCAGTCATCATAGGTCAGGACCGGTGTGGTTTTTATGCCTTCTGCTGACCGCTTGCTATGCTGGACATCTGTAACAGCCATCGGACACCACTGATTCTTATTTTTTTTTAAGCTTTTCATCTTGGTACAGGAAGCTGCTTTCTGAGCACGTCGGTGGTGGATATTCCTTTGAGAATGCACCGGTGATTACTCCAAGCCAGAGTGTTACCTACCCATCTCTTGTATTTTTTCCCCATCCCACCCTTCTTCCAATAAACCTGGGGTCTCCGGCACACTGCCCGTGGGCACCATGGAGTCCAAAGGCACCTTTCCTGGTGCTTGCCAAATGTCATTAGAAAGTGGGTGAGGCCCAGTGGGGGCTTTCTGATTGGCCACTGGAGATTTGATTGGCTGTGCAGATTTTTAAAAATGTCGCTTTGGCATCAGCGGCTACCACAGCACAAGGATCCACACTGTGCGACTGAAGGTAAGTGTGGCAGCGGTTTTGTGGTTGGCTCCACCTCCTTGAGCAGCCCTTTTTGGCGGCCATTTTGTGGTTGCGCCTACAACACGGTGTCAGAATTCCAGAGGTGCCCGCTGGCTCAAAAAGGTTTGAGATCCCTGCCATATACAGTTCTCTCTTCCCCTTTTTATCCTCATGACAACCCTGAGAAATACAATAGGCTGGCCCAAGTTAAGTCAGTGAGGTTCGTGGCTGAGGGGGATTTGAACTCTAGCCTCCCAGATCCTAGTGCGACACACTAGCCACTACACCCCATTGCAGATACTCTCATTCATGCTCTGAATTCTGGCTCACGTGAGCCATGTACATACAGCAGTTTCCTCCAGTGAAATGAAGTCAGTTGCCCTTGAAGGTACATGAATGCAATCTGTACATTTTTTTAAACTGCTGGACTGGGATAAGTCTTTGAAAAGTTTCCTCCATTGTTCTGGAAAGGGAAAATGCCACGATCTGCATGGTTACCCACTCTTCCATCAGGGCATCCAGACATAAAGGGTGCGCTGCTGGACACGGGCCTCCTGTTGGATAAACAGATAGCAGTGGTGGCCAGTGGCACCTTTCACCAGCTTCAGCTGGTGAGCCAGCTGAGGGTCTTCCTGGGCAGGAAAGATCTTGCTGCTGTGGTGCATGACCTGGTAACATCTAGATTAGATTACTGCAATGTGCTCTCCGTGGGGGCTGCCCTTGAAGACTGTCTGGAAGCTACAGTTGGTACAGGATGCTGCAGCCGGAGTGTTGACTGGAGTGGGACTAAGGGACCAAATCACTCCAGCCTTCTATCTATACTGGCTCCTAATTTGTGCCCATGCCCAATCAGCCCCACAGCCAGGAAATCTTCGGGGGGGTGGGGGCGTACCCCCGATGTGGATGACTTGTGATGTCAGCCAGAAGTGACCCGATGATTTGCCACCCTGCATGCCTACCTTATCTGAGCCCGGCGGGCAAGGTGAGGCAAATACAGGTGAGGTGAGGGCAAGGCGAATGAGTGTGGCGCTCCCCTCTCCCCCTCCCCTCTGCAGGTGCCATCCAGCCTACCCCCGGAGCTCAGAGAGCCCTGTGGGCTTCCCGGCCGCCCCTTCACTGCTGCCACCACTGCAATGGGCTCTCCCCCCTTCCCGGGGGGGGGAGTCAGCACAAGCTGGCTGCCAGCCTCTTGTCCCCTCCCAGCCAACCACAAGGGGGAGGAGAGCAGTGCCACATACCCAAGGCTCCCTCCCACTCCCAGCAGACCACAAGGTGCACAGGCAAGCCCCAGTCTCCTTCCCTGAGTCAGCGAGTAAAAGGATGGTATTTAAAGAGACAATATATCTCTTTATATACCTTTGCTTCTCTGCAGCACAGCTCAGGGGAGGAAGGGAAGGTATTTAAACACCAGCAAGTGAAGACATATCTATCTTTAAATACCTTCCTTTTACTTGCTGACATGCACTGCAGTCCTGCCCCCCCCCTGCAGCAAGCGCAGTTGTTGCCGTTTGCCCCAGGCTGGGAGCGGTGGGGTGCTGCAAAGTTGTTAGGGGGCACCCCACTGCTGGCTACGACCCTGTGCCCAAGGTGCTGGTATTGAACTTCAAAGTCCTATACCACTTGGGGCCAGCATACCTGAAGAACTGCCTACTTAAGGACTGCTTATGAACCAGAGAGAGAGAGAGAGAGAGAGAGAGAGTTGTGGTGACTCTAGGTGCACAGAAATGGTGGAACAACCTTGCTCCCACTGCACACTGCTCCCCCCCACCATCTTTAAATGTAGTCCCCAAATCTGCATTTTTAAAAAGAAAACATGGATTTAAACATGGATCATAGAACTACAGGTACTATGTAGTTTTACCCTTTGCATTCTGCTGTTGGCTGACAATCGTCTGCTCTGCATACCTTTCTCTTAGAGATCATGTCTCCTCTGCCCACGGACAGGATGATCTGGACCCAGGTCTTCTTGGCTTCCACTTCCAGTCCTGGTGGGGTAAAGGAAAAAAGATTCTCTATTAAAATCTAAGGATAACCTTCTTCCTTGATGACAAAGGCTTTTGAGGAAAAAGAGAATGGTAAAACCTTGTGTCAGGGCGAGGCTGGGACTATAGATCTGGAAAATGTACATGGCCTTAAGTGACCTGATGATACTTTTCGTGGACCCTCCCTGGGTTCACATGACCAGAGATGCAAAGTGAGTTCTGTGTTGGGATCTTAATCGAAAGGAACACATGGACCTTATTTTAGAGTTACCAGATGTCCTCTTTTTAGATGACATGTCTTCTGTTTTTGGTGTCCATCCCCTTTTGGGCTCTTTTTAAAATACTGATGAATATTCCCAGTTAGTAGCAATTATCACAGCTTAAATAGTTTTTGTTGTTGGAGATCAAATCAGTCAGCCCTAAAGGAAATCAACCCTGACTGTTCCCTAGAAGGCCAGATACTGAAGCTGAAGCTCAAATACTTTGGCCACCAAATGAGAAGGGAGCACTCATTGGAGAAGACCCTGATGCTGGGAAAGATTGAAGGCAAAAGAAGACGGGGACGGCAAAGGATGAGATGGTTAGACAGTGTCATAGATGCAACGAACATGAAATTGAGCAAACTTCAGAGGACGGCGGAAGACAGGAAGGCCTGGCGTGATGTGGTCCATGGGGTAGGGGGATCTAACATCAGATTAACGCTCCCTCTAAGCTGTGGAGTCGTGTGAGCAAAAATTCTACTTTGTGAGCTACTGGCGTAAAAGTTGTGAGCGAGCAATTTGGCTACTGCATAAATTGGTTTGCTCTGGAGCCATCCTTCCTAAACTGAGTGTTGGGATTCTTATTCAGGGTTGATGGTTGTATTGCAATTACACAAGAGCCACACTTAGTAAAAGAAAAATATCTTTATTATAAAAACAAAATAAAACATGGGTATGGTACTTTGGATAAAAGAAATAAAATAAAAAGTTACATACTTAGTTACTTTCAGTAATAAATGCTAACAGCTACATCTTTCTATCTCTCTTGGCTTCTAGAAGAGAACTACCTCTTTGATTCACACAAAGGGCCATAAACTTGTGAATAAATTAATGCTAGATCAAAGCATTTCTACAAACAAGATGTGAGTTAACCAATACGGGTCATGTCATTAGGATAAACAACTCCCACAAACTTTCCCGCCATTGAATACATTATGTAACGTAACACCCTGTTTGCTAACAAACAACATTTAACTCTGTAATGGCTGAAGTGTAAGCAACTTGCTACTGGCGTAAAAGTTGTGAGCGAGCCATTTGGCTACTGCATAAATTCATTTGCTCTGGAGCCATCCTTGCTAAACTGAGACAAAAATGTGTGAGCCGGAGGCTAAAAAACTGAGCTAGCTCACACTAACTCAGCTTAGAGGGAACACTTGTTCGAAGTAGTCAGTCAAGAAAGATGTCCTCTTTTTTTGCTTTTCAAAATATGGTAACCCTAACTTACTTGGATCAGGATAGTGGTGGCATAAGAGGTTTCATCCGATCCCCTCATGCTGCCCTCGGCATAAAATGCCCTTGGGGTGCTCTGTGTGTCCCATTGGGGAAACTTAGCTGTACCCATCAATGTACATGGAGCCTTCCAGTAGGGCAAATACTGCACCCCAGGCCAGGGCCATTTCAAGGAGGGAAGGTGGCATGGTATCGCCCAATCTTGTCAGATCTTGGAAGCTAAACAGGGTTGGTATTTGGAATGGAGACCACAAGAAAGACCCTGCAGAGGAAGGCCACGGCAAACCATGTCTGTTTCTCACTTGCCTTGAAACTCCCTTGCTGAGGTTGCCATACGTGAACTGCAAATTGATGGCACTATACATATACAGAGGGCCATTTCAGGAGCTTTTCTGCACACTTGACTTGCTCCTGATTTTCTTGGCAGTCGATCCACAAGCATTGGAATCGGTTTGGGCACAGTTCTTCCACATGTCTGCCCTCCCTGTGCATTTTCACAGTTATGGAGTCAGTTTGTTTTCTTCTACACATGCCTTAAGAAATCAGGATTTTCAAGGGAGGGATTGTCATCAGTGGCATCAGCGCACCAACGCTTTTTATTTTTTTGTGCATGCGTATATTGAGATATCAATATCATGGCTGTATTTTTAAAGACACTAAAATATCGATATATTGATATACCACCATAATGATTGGTCAAGCAGGTTTTCTGAGTTCCCAGCTTTCATTTTTAAAAAGTAACTCTCTAGTCCCTTCCCTTACAGAGATATGCCCTTTTCCTTATATCTCCAAAAAGGCAAGGGTTTAAAAAAAATGAAACCTGACAATTCAGAAAACCGGCCTGACTGATCATTATAGCAGTATATAGATATATCAATATCATGGGGGGAGGGGGTGGTTTGGCAATGACGACAATCCAGTTGTCAAAAAGTGGTTTGGAGGCGTGGGGGAGTAGGTGGGACAAAGAAAACCAACAGAAACATGACAGACAAGGAAAAAGGCAACTCAAAATTTGCTTCCAGGGGGAAAAAAAGGTAAAAGTGGTCTCAAAAGAAACAGGAAAAACCTTTTGAGGGGAGGGGAATGAAGTGAAAATTGAAGGCACAAAAATGCATGTGGAAATCAGGGGATAAATCAAAGAAGTATAGGGCCAGAACCAATATAAAACCCCCTGTGGAAAAGCCCCAGGTCAGAAAAATGATATGGGGGAAGGATGAACCCCCCTCTTCCTACATGCCATGGTCCTGATGTGATTTGGGTTAGTACATGCCTCAGATGAAGTTCCAAACAGAACTAATAATTCTCATTTGATTGTAGAAACCCAGGCAGGAGCCATGGGGAAAAACAAAACATCCTTTGTAGTTATAAGCTTCAGTAATCATGGATATAGAAGCCAAGCAATCCACCCATCAATGTTCCCCCTAAGCTGTGGAGTGTTGTGAGCAAAAATTCTGCTCTGTGAGCCAAATGAGCTACTAGCATTAAAGTTGTGAGCAAGCCTACATTTGACGATTGCGTAAATTAGTTTTTCAGAAGATTATTAGATTATTATGGTTAGAAGCTTTCAGCCTTCACTGATCATTCTTCATGTGCTGTTTATCTTCAGCTTAAATTCAAACCAAGATAAATTTGCACTTTTAATATTTAGTCTTTTCCCCAAATATATTTGCTTGACACAGAAACTAAACGGAAACAAACATTGTGTAGGACACCACCTAATGTATTTCACAAATGCTCTGGATGAAACTGCACCATCAACAAATAAAGCCCACTGACTTCATGAAAATGTTTAAGTGTTTAAGCAAATCCATCCATGGTGGGTTTACTGGTGGTAGGGCTGCCAAGTGGGGGCGGGTGGCGGTTAAACCCCCGCTTTGGAGGCCCGATTTCCACCCCCGCGGAATCGGGCCCCAGGGGGAACCCCCCCCCCCCGAAGCGAAGCGTGGCTGCGTCACTGGAGGTGACGCAACCACGTCAATCACATTGGGGGCGTGGCCCTAATCGTCGGGGGAAAAACTCTATGGTTTTCCCTCCGATGTTTGGGGCCACACCCCCAACGCGTCACTTCCTGGACGTGCTGGCGGCGCGCGTGCATCAGAGGAGAGCTCCCGGAGCCCGGCGACGATCCCCCGCCGGTAAGAAGATTTGACTTGGCAACCCTAACTGGTGGTGTCTAGGGTCAGGGCGAGCGGCATGGCAGCAGCCCTCATCAACCACCCCCCAGCCGGTAATGACAAGCCCAGGCCAGCCCCAGCCCATGGCTGGCTGGGGGGGGAGGGGAGCTGGGGTGGCTCACCTGGAGTGCAAGAGGAGGTCAGGCAGTGAGGCGAGCCAGTGAGGAAGAGCAGGACCTCAGGGCGAGTGGCGCTGCAGCAGCCCTCATCAACCAGCTTCGAGCCGACGATGACAAGACTGGGCCAACCCCAACACATGGCAATACGCCCTGAGATGGGGAAGGGGCTGGAAGGGCAGGCCAAGCTGTGGGTGGCCCAGACTTCCTGGAACCCCACTGTCACTGGGAGGAGGGAAGGGGAGCCAGGCAGGAGGAGGCCAGGCAGCAAGGCACACCAGGAGGGAAGAGCAGGACCTTGGAGCCACTGCTGGCAGTGGGGCAGCAGGTGCAGGTGGGGCCGCGCCCTGAGGTCGGAGTGAAGACGGGAGTGGAGGAAGCAGCCCTGGCATCGGGGTGCAGGTTGAAGCCGGGAGGGGCTCGTTCAGAGCATCCAACAGCCGGGCTGGAGCAGCCAGGGGCAGGGTGGGCCCAGAAGATGCCCTGCACTGAGCCAAAACTCTGTGTGCTAAGGGCTAAAAGACTGTACACCAGCGCATGCTAGCGCAGTTTAGCAGGAACACTGCCACCTCTATGTGTGAACTTGGCCAGGGAATCTACTCAACAGAAGCAGAAATCTGCAGCGCTGAACTCTGAACCTGTCTCTTGGTCTTATGTAAATTGTGTCTTTGTTTGAAGCAAATGAATGGTTGGATAAATCACAGCCGAAACAATTCTCAAGCAAAGTTTACATGCTGTCATTTTCTTGCAAAACCTGGAATTTTGATCCTCCTAATTGGATAACTGACAGTGTTTGCGGTTGTTGATGCTGTTGAGTTTGAAGGGGGAGGAGGCGAAGTGGAGTCATATTCTGCCCGCTTGATTCAACACGGTGACTGACTGCACATCACACAGGCGTGTCTCGAATCACATATGCATAGCTTTATCATACCCTGGACCTTTCCTAGCAAGCTGGTCAGGCCAAAGTAACTAACCGAGGGGCCAGGCAAAACAGCAGGACACGGAGTGACAGATCCAGTGGAGTATACTGGAGTATCACACTAGGCAAGACCCAGGTTCAAATCCCTCAGGGTTACCAATCTCCAAATGGGGCCCGGAGATCTCCTGGAATTACAGCTCATCTCCAAACTACAGAGATCAGTTGCCCCGGAGGAAATGGCAGTTTATGGAATACCCAGCCCCTACACAAAATGTGCCCTTCCCTGTGCTCCACCTACAAAACTCCAGGAACTTGCCACCCCAAAGATGGCAATGCTACATGTAAAACTGGTAGGATTGATCTGAAGATCTCTTGGAACAGCAACTCATCTCCAGACTCCTGAAGAAAATTCCTGCTTTGGAGGGTGGACTCTACGGCATTTATACATTGCTAAGGTCCCTCCCCAGGCTCCACCCCCAATCTTCAGGAATTTTCCAGCCCAGGGTTGGCGGCCCTACATGAAAGCCCTCACTGAATAACCATGGGTTCCTTTTATTTCCAAAACATTTCCCATCTCTTTATCTCCAAAGGACTAGCCTCACCTTTCTCTCTCAGCCTAACCTCATCACTCACAGGCTTGCTGTGAGTGACTGATGAATACTTGCCAAGAGAGTTCTTTATAGGAAGGGGAGGGCAGGAAACAAAAATATGACAGAGAGGAAGCAGAGGTCAGTTCCCAAAGGCAGACTGGGGGAAAGCATCCATCTGGTGGTTCTGGCCTGGAACTGGGCCCTGGGACAGAACTAGACAGGGGCAGCTACCAGTGTTCCCTCTAAGCTGAGTTAGTGTGAGCCAGCTCACAGTTGTTTGGCCTCCGGCTCACACATTTTTGTCTTGGCTCAGGAAGGAGGGCTCCAGAGCAAAGTAATTTATGCTGTAGCCAAATCGCTCCCTCACCACTTTAATGCCGGTAGCTCACAAAGTAGAATTTTTGCTCACAAGACTCCACAGCTTAGAGGGAACACTGGCAACTACGGAAGGGCTTCTGTGATCTGCACCATACAGCAGGTGCTTTGTTAGGTGCACAAACCCAGCTACCCCAAAGGGTATTTAATAGCACACAGAGACGGGTAGGGGCAGTCGCAGGGTTCCCAAACTCCAGGTAGGGCCTGGAGATCTCCAGCTAGCACAGCTGATCTCCAGACTACAGAGATCTCAGGGCCCCTGGAGAAAAGGGCTGCTTGGGAGGGTGGGCTCTTGGGCACTGTCACCACCACCCCGAGGCCCCTCCCCTCCCCGGATCCCACTCTTCTCAGGTTCCACCTCCAGGTATTTTCCAACTCAGGGTTAGCAACCGAAGGCAGCCATCAGTCACAGTGGGAGAGAGATGAAGCAAGGCAAAGACCTCATTGATCGCCTTAGTCCCCAGGGGGCGGAAGGTTTCCTGCACTTCAAATGTCTCTAGTTATCAAAGTCTCTAGTTTCTAATAGTTGCCTCAGTAAACTGCTGCCAGGAGGGGTTGGGGGAGGGGAGGGGACCTCAGTGGGGTACAAGGCCATGGAGTCCACCTTCCAAAGCGGCCATTTTCTCCAAGTGTACTGACCTCTGTCACCTGGAGGTCACAGTTGTAATAGTGGGAGATCCCCAGGCCCCACCTGGAGGCTGGCAACCCAAGGCATGGGGATCCCCTGAAATTACAGCTCATCTCCAGACTACAGAGATCAGTTCCCCCGGAGAAAATGGATGTGTGATATTGTGCGCAGTTGCAAATTTCTGGATGTTCCCTGATTGCATTGTTCAATTAATTTAACATGATCCCTTGCTGTACAAGTCTTTGATTTCATTCCACCTTTCACTTGTTTTGTTGGTTTCCGGCTATGGCTGGTTATGGCCTAGCAGGGCCCAGACCAGGCTGTGCTTGTGTTCTAATAAAGTTATGCTCTGTTTAGGTACTGGTGCTGTGACGTTATTACAGGGTGCTTTGCAGGGTGAGGTCCCTCAGGCTCCACCCCCAAATCTCCAGGAGTTCTAGGGTTGGCAGGTCCCCTAGCCATCGCGGCAGGGGGATTGGGGGGGGCGTTCGGGGGGCGGGCAGGACATTGTCGGGCAATGTCCCGAGTCCGACATGATGACATCACCCAGAAGTGACATCATGCTGGCAACACCATGCATGACACTCTAGTTTTTGGGCAAAAATTCTTTGGTTTTTTGGCTTCAAAACCATAGAGTTTGCCCAAAAATCAGAGCATCGTGTGTGACGTCGCCGATGCCCTGATGTCACTTCTGGGTGCTGTCATTTCATTGGGGGTGTCTCCTGACGATGTCCCTATTTGGGGGTGGGTTTCTCCCGTTGGCCACCTGGCCAGCAGCAGATTGCAGCCCCCAAAAGCCAGGGAACCTCTGCTGGGAGCTGGGGGCTGGCAACCCCAAGGGGTTCCCAAACCTGGAGATGGCAACCCAGCACCCCTCCGCTGGCACCCTAATTAAGAAAGTGGGGTTGCCAACCTCCAGGTGGTACCTGAAGATCTCCTGCTATTACAACTGATCTTGAGAGAACCAAGATCAGTTCCCCTGGAGAAAATGGCTGCTTTGGAGGATGGGCTATGGCATTAGACCTTGCTAATGTTTCTCCCCTCCCCAAACCCCGCCCTCCCCAGGCTACATCCCCAGAACCTCCAGGTATTTCCCAACCCAGAGCTGGCAACCTTAAAGGAAAGTCTTGCCGTTTTCATTTTACCTTTTGCAGCCAGGAAAGGAGACGAAGTTAGATTGGGGAAATCCATCCTGCCATCACCCACTTGGCTGCACCAAGCCTCCGGCTTCTGTTGCGCCCCCCCCCCCGGCAGAGTCATTCTAAGCAGAGCAAACGTGCAGCTCTGAGCAGCAGAATAGTGTTGCCAACCTCCAGGCGGGGTCTGGAGATTCCCCGCTTTTACAACTGATCTCCAGCCGACAGAGATCAGCTCCCCTGGAGAAAATGGCTGCTTTGAAAGGGGGACTCTGTGGCACTGTACCATGCTGAGGCCCCTCCCCAAACCCCGCCCTCTCCCGGCTCCACCCCCAAAGTCTCCAGGTATTTTCCAACCCAGACCTGGCAACCCTACAAACAACTCGGCTTAAAAGGAAGGGCAGGCAAGAGTGAGGAGGAATCCCCCGTGGAGTGGAGAAGGGCACCATGCTCTGCTTTCCCTCACAGTCTGGGCTTGGACTGTCTTATAAACACATCCTCTCTCCCCCTCTCTCTGAGCAGGCGCATCCCTTCTTTTTCACTCCGCAGTCAGGTCTGCCCTCTCTCTGCTCACCCCATAATTTGGCTCAGGGGAAAGGAGGCAAAGTCCACGCTTGCTGGTCCGGCTGAGTCCCTCCTGCCCTTTTGCATCTATTTCTCCATTCAAAGGCTTGGATGTTGAATCTGTGTACGTACCAGCATCAAGTAGCCATATTAAGGGAAGAAGATGTGGGGCGACTGAATTGCAGAGGGGGAAGAAAAGAAGGATACAGTAGAAGTAGGGTTGCCAGGTCTCTCCTGGCCACTAGGGAGGTAGGGTTGCCAGCTCCAGATTGGGCAGCTCCTGGAGATTTGGGGGTGGGACCTGGGGAAGTTCCACAGTGGGGTTTAATGCTATAGAGAGGCCACCCTCCAAAGGACCCATTTTCTCCAGGGGGATGGATCTCTGTCGTCTGGAGATCCGTTGTAATCCCGTGGGATCCCCAGGTCCCACCTGGAGGCTGGCATCCCTAAGAAGTGTATGGCAAGGCAAATGCAGGTCTAAACTTGGGAGGAAGGTTAAGGAGGATTAGTATTACCTACCCTGAGTAGAGGAAAAGTGATGAGCTGCAATTTAAATACAAGGAGCAAGGATCTAAGGTCACAAGCCTGCATGCACACATTTGTGTGTGTGTGTGTGTGTGTGTAAAGCCAGCAGGTGGTTGCCAACCTCCAGGTGGGGCCTGGGGATATCCTGTTTTTACAAATGATCTCCAGACTTCAGAGATCTGTCCCCCTGGAGAAAATGGCTGCTTTGGAGGGTGGATTCTATGGCATTATACTCTGCTGAGGCCCCTACTCACGCCCCACCCTCCTCAGGCCCCACTCCTAAAATCTCCAGGTATTTCCCAACCCAGAATTGGCAACCCTAAGTCCTAGTGAACTCAGTGGGGTTCTCTCTCTTTTTTAATGAGTATTTGTGTGTGTGTTGTGTGTTGTGTGTGCGTGCGTGCT